TTTCTGACAAGATGCCGTTAAATATCGCATGCGATTAATCGTGCAGCCCTAATTGGGACACAGCTTTAATCTACAACAGGGGTGCCCAACCCTGTTCCTGATCAAACACACCGGAACCAACTAATTCGGATCTGAAGGAGCACTTGATAATTACAGACAGGTTTGTTTAATCGGGGTTGGAACTGAAGGAAGGTAGGATCTCCAGGAACAGGATGCACCCCTGATCTATAACAATACATCTGTTTCAGTGGTTCCCAACCCTGGTCCTGGAGGCACCCCAAGGTTGTATTCACACCAGGAAAGTCCGCTAGTTCATCATGTAAAAGTTGATGTGTGCGAAAGTCTTATCTGTAGTACAGTGGTTCCCAACCCTGGTCCTGGAGGCACTGCACATTTTGCATGTCTCCTTAATCAAACACACCTGATTCAGGTCATCAGCTCATTAGTAGAGACTCCAAGACCTAAAATTGGTGTGTTAGAGAAAGGAGACATACAAATTGCGCAGTGTTGGGGGTCCTCCAGGACCAGGGTTGGGAAACACTGCTATAGAACATCAATGTCCAAATACTGTCCATACTGTAGCTAAAGTTGACTGATAGCAAATGAATAATCCAACCTCTTGTAATGAAAATACAACACAGCTCTCAAACACCAGACTCTTCCTAACCAGGAACAGTCAAAAATAGTCCAGACTATGGTCTCACGTCGAAAAGAACTTTAAATCCATATTCAAACTGGACCATGATGTGGTAACCTCACCAAGAGTCCTTCTAAAATGCACACAAATACACAGTCTTAAACTCTTAGCATCAATCCAAACATAGGCCATACATACATGTAACATCTCTGCAAAAAAACATCCGCAATGTACACTTTGGAAAAAAAATAACAACTCCTTACTTTAGACTGGGCTTGAAATTACACATTTCCCAACCAGGACACAGCACAATGTGCTCAGCAGGTGAGCTATGCTGGCTACTGCTGCTTGTTATTACTAACTCCCTCTACCACATGGCTTTACTTAAGGAAACCTAAAACACCCTAGCACCCCTAGTGGTAAAAAACTGCCTACAAAATTCTTATTAAAAGGCTGTCACACCTCAAATATGGCTCGTGAGATCCACTTTCCTGCAAAGTTTAGCTCCAACTTTGATCAAACTCACCCAACTGTGATTTTTTAATGATCCTGAGGACATTGATTAGCATGCTCAGGTGTGTTTGATTAAGGTTAGAACTAAACTCTGCAGGAAAGTGGATCTCGTGAGCCAGATTTGAGGATCCCTGGCCTAAATGAAACAACAGATTCTGAAAGGGTCTTTTTTGGTTTGAGCCATTCCACTTCAATTGAGTGGCTAAAGAATGGCCAGTCAATGTTCTTTGTATTCTTCTAGTTGCATTACAAGGCTGCCTTCACAAAACCTGCATGGGCCCAAAGGATACAAAAGTTGCTCTGGGCCCGAACGGGCTGGCCCATCATATGATTAATGTGGACAGTCCGCTAGTGTGGCCTGCTCACAGAGAGTCTGCGGTGAGCCCAAAGCTGTGGGCCTCACCTGGGAAAGCCCGCACTGGCCCTGTTTAGGTTTGGTGTGGGCTGGCCCTAGCCCACTGTGCCCGCAAAAAGCCAGCATGGGCCCCACAAGGGCATGTTTGCAGGGGCAATATCAAGCAGCAAAACAAGCTTTTTTGTACAGCTAAAAATTGCTGGAAGCAGATGAGACTGGAAGCCAGACCCATTAAATTTACCGAATTTGGCCTTATGTCTTCAACCATTAAGCCACGTTAAGTTTTTTCTTTGTAATGGTTTTCTATCAGAGGAAAACACTTAACATGCATGCACTTGACTTTACGTTCATATCCTGGGCTGCTTGCCTGCATATAGTTTGCATCATCAGTATACTGAGTTGTCCTTTTAATATTACTTCCTTAATGCATTAAGCCACGTTAAGATTTTTTTTTCTTTATAACTCTTTTCTATGGGAGGAAAATGCTTAACAGTAAACTTTACACATTGTTTTCAAATTCTGGGCTCCTCTGCTTGCAAACTCCTTTCAGAAAGACAAATAATATCCACATAGCTTTAAGGTGAATGCAATATTTTAGTGATATCAACATTAGTTATTGTTAATTTTCGAAGTGCAATTGGTCATTTAAATGTATGTTATTAAAGGGGCCATATGATGCGATTTCAATTTTTCCTTTCTCTTTGGAGTGTTACAAGCTCTTGGTGCATAAAGAAGATCTGTAAAGTTGCAAAGACTGCCTCCGCTCACTCTATGGTCATCACAGTATGGTAAGGGGCATAACATTTCTGTCACACGCTTGAGGTATTCGGCCAATCACAAAGCACTGGATAGCTGGCCAATCAGAGCACACCTCGCTTTTCAGACCGATGAGCTTTGTAAAAATCGATGCATTTCAGAAAGGCGGGGCATAGAGGAGAAACATTATGTAAGAAAATGTCTGTTACACCTCAAATATGGCTCGTGAGATCCACTTTCCTGCAGAGTTTAGCTCCAACTTTAGCTCCAACTTTAGCTCCAACTTTGATCAAACTCACCCAACTGTGATTTTCTAATGATCCTGAAGACATGTTCAGGTGTGTTTGATTAAGGTTAGAACTAAACCCTGCAGGAAAGTGGATCTTGCGAGCCAGATTTGAGGATCTCATGACTGGCACTGATATTGTGGCAAGCTGCGGCTCCGCATCTGCAGTGTGTTCAGGCTGGTTCGTCGCTGGGGTGGGGGCTGCAGCTGGCACTCTGTGTTCCTCCTCACTCTCGTAGATAGTGATGTTGTGGAGGAGTACCCATGTATGCGCGTTCTCTCGTTTCAGGACTTAAGGTTGTCCGGAAAAGGTGTGTAACTCAAAATCAGTAACCAAGGCGACAATCAAGGAAATCAGATAGGGAGGCAGGCAAGCAAAAACCAAAAATAAAAAAGCAAACTAAACATAATCCTGATAGTAGGGAACAAGACACTTCATAGCTCAGTCCTGCTTTATTTCCTTAATTGGAAATCTGAGGGGTGATGGCACGAGTGTGTCCTTTTGAGGTGGACGGTGCAAGCACCATCAGCCAATAATTTGGCATACTTATACATGGGCTTCAGACAGGGCCATCCTTAGCTGACACGGGGCCCGGAGCCATGTAGGGAAAGGGTGGTGGGTTTGGGTTTCCCCCTCAGTCTGTTCATCATGGGGGCCCCTTCAAAGCGCGGGGCCTGGTACAACCACACCAGTTGCACCACCCAAAGGACGGCCCTGGCTTCAGAAAATTGTCACACCCAGAGAGTGTCTCCAGTTACTGACACAGCATCTCGTTCCCTACTCTGGGAACCAAAGATACATACATAACCGTGATGTTTTGCACCAGACACCAGTGTTAGGGGTAACGCATTACAAGTAATGCGAGTTACGTAATCAGATTACTTTTTTAAGTAACTAGTAAAGTAACGCATTACTTTTTAATTTAGAATGAAATATCTGAGTTACTTTTTCAAATAAGTAACTCCAGTTACTTTGTTTTCCATGTTACTCAGTGTCTTTGCTACTGACCTTCAATGATCCATTCCAATTGAACCATACTAATAAGCAAAAATGACACATTTGTGTTTCATTTTTTTCAGCCATTTGTATCTGCAGTCTCATTATTTCAGGTCACCACGCAAAGCATATGACCATAGGTGATGTCGTCATAAGTTATGACGCAACTGAGAATCATATATAGCCTATACATATATGTGTGTATCGAATAATACATACAGTAAATATAGTAATGAAGTGTCATCACTTTACACCACTGATATTGTACTCCACGGAACCTACATTTTACTGAACCTGGAACATTCCTTTAATTCAGATATTTTATTTATGTATTTATTTATATTTATATATTTATATTATTTCTTTTTGCTTTCAAACAATCAGCCTTTGGCTATAAGTGCATTTTACACAATCACTGCTTTTTAAATCAGAAGATAGAAATGCATGAAACCATAAAAAATCATGGTTACAGATGCATGTAAAATCAATAGCTTTGCAACATTGACACTTTAATTGAACTGAGATGGAACAACACAAACTAAGTTGAGCTGAATAATGACACTATTGTCTACTGTAGAGCTGCTTTACAGCTGAAATAGATTTTTTTATAGATTATTATTTTGATCCTCTATGTATAATGTGCTATATAAAAAATGTAATTTACATTAAATATTGTTGTTAATTAGAACATGTTCCTAGTTACTGTAATGAACAAGACATGTGTTTGCTCTGCTAGGATGCCTGTGTGAACTTGATATAACTCATTTCACATATCCACTAAAAATGACCAAAACATTTAAAAGGCAGTGCAAAAATGTCCCAGAAAAGTGAAGTAAATTCTGAGAACAACTCTAGCAGCGTTTGTTTAAAGATGCTAGAAAGAAACAAAAGGTTACTATAGAAAACACATTCAGTAAGGTGACTTTTTCATGTCGACTTGTTCTTTCGGTTTATGTGTATCTTGCTCACAGCAACTTTGTGTTCTGGCCAGCTCTGACTTTCTGTATGAGACTGGCATCTAGTGGACATTTTAGGGTGTGAGTTTACAGACTTACAGACACGCCTGTTTTTGCACACGTCTTTCAAACACAGAACCAGGAAACCCAGTTGAGGGAGTCTGATCTGCTGTTGAGCTGTTGTTTGTGTGTCTGTATTGCTGTAGACAGTGAAATGGCTGAAGCCAGTGTTTTTTCAGTGGAGCAGTTCAGCTGTCCAGTGTGTCTGGATCTCCTGAAGGATCCAGTGACTATACATTGTGGACACAGTTACTGTATGAGCTGCATTACAGACTGCTGGGATCAAGAGGATCAGAAGAGAGTCTACAGCTGCCCTCAGTGCAGACAGACCTTCAGTCCAAGACCTGCTTTAGCTAAAAACACCATGCTAGCTGAAGTGGTGGAGAAACTGAAGAAGACCAAACTAAAAGCTGCTGTTCCTGCTGGACCTGGAGACGTGGAGTGTGACATCTGTACTGGAAGAAAACACAAAGCTGTCAAGTCCTGTCTGGTGTGTCTGGAGTCTTACTGTCAAACTCACTTTGAGCGTCATGAAGAGTTTCGCTCAGGAAAGAGACACAAAGTGACTGATGCCACTGGACGACTGCAGCAGATGATCTGCCATCAACATGATATGCCTCTATTGGTTTTCTGTCGTACTGACCAGCAATGTGTTTGCATGCTGTGTGCAATGGATGAACATAAAAACCATGAGACTGTATCAACTGCAGCAGAGAGGACAGAGAAAGAGGTATGAACTGAAACGACACATTGATGTATGTCACTTAATGTGTTTCTCTTCACTGCAGTATCCAGCTGTATCATGAGTGCATCATGTGACCTACTCTCCCATTGGGAGTTACTACATGACGCCTCTGTGCATTAGAGCAGGGGTTTTCAACCTGCTCTGCCAGCACCTGTCAAGGGGGGCAGGAGCATTAGTTAATTCAGAGACGTTCCCTTGAGAATTTATGAATATGAGTTAACAAATCTTTAGCCATCCACTAAGGGGCAATCTGACTCCCACTGCTAGTCGACAGTTAGAGCAGAGTTGGCTCGAGTATCAGTCACGCTCAGTGTTGCCAAGTCCGCGGATTTACCTTATGCCGCGTTTGGTAGTTTTTGGCTAG